TTCTAGCATGTAAACTCCATGACCCTCCACCTGCCCTGTTGACTCAGGTCTCTGCCACCTCATTTCTCTGTGTACATCAGTCAAAAGTAGTGTTAGCATACCCCCCATTTGAACATTTTTCTCCCTCATATATAAATCTATGCCATTTGTATTGATGGGTGGACTCTGGGTTGGGAAATTCCTGGGGATTTGGGGGTGGAGACTGGGGACAGCAGGGTTTAGGGAGAGGAGGGACCTCAATGGGGTATAATGTCATAGAGTCCACCCTCCAAAGCAACCAATTCCTCCAATATCTTATCTTTATCATCTGGAAATCAGTTGTAATTCTGGGAGATCTCCAGGCTCCACCTGGAGGTTGTCTTGTTGTTGTTCAGTCGCACAGTTGAGTCCAACTCTTCGTGACCCCATGGACTACATCACGCCACTCTACTGTAGCTGAACTAAACACAACTGATTAGGAAGCAATTCTAAACTAGTCAACCCAGAAGTAAGTCCCGTTATATTAATTTGGATTCCCCTCCCCCGAAAGCGTTTTTAGGATTGCAGCCATAGACAATTTTGTTAACTGGGAGACTGCTCTGATTATTTATTTAATATCCCATTCTTTCTAAATAAGCTCAGAGTGGCATACATGTTCCCACAGCACTCTTTCACCCTCACAATTCACTGTAACAAGTGAACAGGGTTGGTTTGTCACAAACTCCCCCTCTTCCCCAGAGAGCATTGGAAGTGTTTTAGGGGGCACTCTTCATTCTTATGAGGTCCTTCCAAGACTGCTCAGGTAATAGTAGAAGAGTTGAACATGTGGGCAGATGTTACATTACTCCTCCCTGAACCTGTATTGCCTCTTCTGGAAACTAGCACAGGAACAACTGTGGCTGTCCCCATGTGATCCAAGGCTTCTTATGTTAGCTTTGCAACATGGGAAGGAGTCAGACTCCAAAGATAATGTGAGAAGGGACTTTTTAGCATGCACCTTAGAATATTCCCCAGAGTACTCCACAACAAACAGAAGAAGAAGAAGAGGAGATTGGATTTATACCCCGCCCTTCACTACCCAAAGGTGTCTCAGAGCGGTTTACAAACTCCTTTCCCTTCCCACAGCAGACACCCTGTGAGGTAGGTGGGGCTGAGAGAACTCTGACAGAAACTGCTCTTTTTCAAGAATAGCTCTTATCAGAACTACAGCTTGCCCAAGGTCATCCAGCCAGGTGCAAGTGGAGGAGTGGGGAATCAAATCCGGTTCTCCCAGATTAGAGCACACTAAAGAGGCTGGAGCAGAAAGGATTTCCTGAATGTAATACATTTTGACCACCACAATGAACCACTAATACTACTCTCTGATTTTGATCCCTAAAGTCCTGTGCACTTTGGAGTACTCTCAGTGCAACTTGTTCCTATATAAGTGTGCACAGGGCTGCAAGATTCACAGCTAATCCTATTCTAAGTATGGCTGAAATCAATGTAGTGTACAAACCAGGCCTGTAGCCAGTAAATTTTGTTTGGTGGGGCGCTGGGAAATCTGGGGGGGGGGCAGGGGAGAAGAGGAGGAAGAATGAGGGACAACTTTTTACACTTTAAAAAAACTACCCCATGCAGTTTAAAAAAAACCACCCCACAAGGGGGGGGGGAGCTGCAACTTCTCCACTTCTCCCCTTGAGTTGCCTCATAGGAGGACTTTTTTTACTGAGCGAAGCAGGCCCCATCCCCTTTGTGCCAGCCGACTGCAGCAGGAGAAACAGTGGCTCTTCTTTGGCTCCCATCTTTGCCCTGTGGCGGACAGGTGCTGAGGAGGCCATGGCACGTACAAATTAACCTCTGAGAGCAGCAGCAAAGGCTCCAGCAGTGGGGCTGTGAAGAAGAGGCCCCCTGTCCACGCTGCGTCTTCCCTCCCCTCACTGAGGCAAGATGCCAGTCCTGGCCTGCCTGCCCGCTTCAGCCTCATGGTTGGCAAGGTGGGCTCCTCCATGGTGCATACACAGGGAGGGAGGGAGGGTGGAGAGGGAGGGAGAGCTGGTGAGGTCACAGGTGCCAGGAAAAGATGCAGAAAATCAGGCTGCAGGCAAGGTGTGGTACGCATCACGTCACATCGAGACTTTCCTGAATATATACCAAAATATTTAAAAATAGGGTTTCTAGCAGCAGGACTTGTGAGGCAGGGCTGTTGTGTGAGGGGGCATGGCCCTGAAATGCCCCATCATAGCTACGGGCCAAGTACAAACTACTGCATGAAGGCTGCAGTCTTAAATAGTTTGTTTGTTTAGACATCAATTGAATTGAAAATCAATGCAATAAACATCCAAGAAAACAGAGTTAGGATCAGACTTCCATTGCTGTGGAAAGGAAGGGGGTGGTATCCCAGACTTCCCAACTTTCTCCTCCTTGCCATTATGCAGCCTGGATAAGACCAACATGGCTGACCACCTAGATCCATCTTTTTGGAGTCACTGATGATAAATAGGATTGACTTCTATAATGATTCCTCTCTATTTTGGTTCTCTTTTCTTTTTCTTGGCTGAGAAGCCCCTCTTCTTTCCTCTTTGTTTCTCTGTCTGCCCAGCCAGTTGACTAAATGTACATAGATAGAAGATGACCCAGCCTAGGGAACTGAGGGACCAACTAAAATCCTTCTTTTGTCTTTGTTTGATAACGGCACAAGAGAGGCTGATGGTGATTCAAAACTAACAAACTGCTTTATTTCACATTTGAGGGAATATGATCAGTTAGGTATCAGGTCTAGGACTTAGAAGGCGAACAGGCAACAGGAATGAGGTAGTTTGTATACATATAACCAATAGTTTGTCACAAACAAGTAGCTGTTTAGTTGTTATACAGACAGGTCTTTAAAACTGAGGAGAGAGTTTTCTTGGCAGTTTGTGCTTAAATAAACAAGCATACGCTTCCTTGTCTCAAAGATACTTAAGTTGGTGAAGGCAGGAACATTCACACGAGTTCCAATATCCCTTCTTATCATTTGAGCCAGTTTGGTGTGTAGTGGTAAGAGTGGTGGACTGTAATCTGGAGAACTGGGTTTGATTCCCCACTCCTCCACATGGAGCTGCTGGTGTGACCTTGAATCAGTCACAAGTTCTTTCAGAGCCGTTCTCTCAGGGCCAGTTCTTGAAAGAGCTCACTCAGCCCCACCTATCTCACAGGATGCCTGTTGTGGGGAGAGGAAGGGAAGGAAATTGTAAGCCACTCTGAGACTCCGAGTGAAGAGGTATAATTCTTCCTCCCCCCCTTCACTAGGAGCTATTTCCCTCAGGGAATGGCCACTCCGTCCCACTTCCCTAACTCAGGATCCTCCTTGTTCCTCTCCCTCTGCTTCACTGTCAACTGCCATTCTTAACTGCCTCTCCTAACTGAGACTCTTAATTGTAGAATTCCACTTGAATCTCCTGTCACTGAAGGTTCTCAGAACAGGTTAAAGCATTAACCATTTGCTGTCCATCCCAAATCCCTAAGTAAATAATTGTGTTTAGAATTGTCAAGTCAGATTCACACATGCAGGAGTGTATGCTGGGCATGAGGTGGTAGAATGGACTTGAGAAGAAGAGTCACATTTAGAAAGCTTCACTACATCAAAAACTCCCTGTGTGAGTACAAAAAACAGCACAGCAATTAAACAGAGCAGATAAAATCTCTCTGCTGGGCTAGTTTTTCTAATTGTATGGAGGGGGTATTTTTTTAATGCAAAGGACCATTCACAGCTGGGAGATGCAGTCCTTTCTACTCCCTCTTCCTCGTCCCCCAGCATATGTGAACCACAGAGAAGGCCAGAGGCAACATATGTGCACATGACCTTTAGAGCATGGTAGTACAGTCATAAGCACAGTGGCACCCTTCTAACCCTATCTACTTCATAGGACTTAGGTATAACTTTGTTTAGGATTGTTTTGTGGTTCCTGGCGGCAGAAGAATGCGATGGCAAATCTTTGTTGTTGTTCAGTCGCACAGTTGAGTCCGACTCTTCGCGACCCCATGGACAAGATCACGCCAGGCCCTCCTGTCTTCTGCCGTCCTCTGAAGTTTGCTCAATTTCATGTTCGTAGCATCTATGACACTGTCTAACCATCTCATCCTTTGCCGTCCCCGTCTTCTTTTACCTTCAATCTTTCCCAGGATGTTACAGGTGGTAAAATGGCTCGTGGAAGCAATCCTAAGCAAGTCTACTCAGAAGTCAGTCCCATGTTATTCCGGTTACCTTTTGACTTCCTACTTTAGCATTCCAGTCCCCTATGATGATGAGGACATCATTTTTTGGTGTTAGTTCTAGGAGGTGTTGTAGGTCTTCATAGAACCGGTCCACTTCAGCCTCTTCTACATCAGTGGTTGGGGCATAGACCTGGATTACTGTGATGTTGAATGGTTTGCCTTGGAATCGGACAGAAATCATTCTGTCATTTTTGAGATTGTATCCTCCTGCATCCTTTCAGGGTGCAGTTGGTGGATGTTTTCGTCTTTGAATGTTCCTGCACAAACAGGGAAGGAGCGCAGCGGGGATTGTACACATAAGAGAAAATTACAACGCGAACTTTCTGGTCCTCTCCCTGTCATCTGAAGCAGTGTTCCCTCTAAGCTGAGTTAGTGTGAGCTAGCTCACAGTTTCTTAGCCCCCGGCTCACACATTTTTGTCCTGGCTCAGGAAGGATGGCTCCAGATCAAACTAATTTATGCAGTAGTCAAATTGCTTGCTCACAACTTTAATGCCAGTAGCTCACAAAAAAGAATTCTTGCTCACAAGACTCCACAGCTTAGAGGGAACATTGATCTGAAGCGGTGCCATCCTTTCTGCCCATTCGGGTCTTTTGGCCGCTTATCATCCCTTGATAAAGAGCGGTCAGCTGCAGTTCTTCCTTCTCTGCCACCGGGTGTCGCTCGGTCCTAGAGGCCCGCCTGGGTTGTGGCTGCTCTCCAGGGCCGCAGGGAGGCGCTTCCCTCTCTCCCTCCGCCCGGGTCAGACGTTCCCAAGGCCAGGAGAACCGCCATTTTCTCACCTCTCCGAGCCAGTTCGGGCAGCTGGTGGCGGAGGAGACAGCGGGGCTCCTTGGAAGAAGGGCAGCGCGGTGAGTTCCAACCCGGAGCGGTTCGGTTTCTGGGGGGAAAGGGGGGGCTGAGTGTCTGTGCCCAAATGCTGGCTGCCGGAGGCAGGCGTGCAAACTCGCAGGTGGGGGATCCACCCAGGTCTTTCACCTAATAGGTTAGCAGGGCAGCGGCATTGCTCGCCCACCCCCGAATAGGAGCTGCTATGGCGATATCCCCCCTTCCCTTTCTTCTCCCCTTAATCGTAGGACTTCAAGGGTGGAGGAGGACGAGGATGCCATTTGCGCGCCCTGCGGCACACGCCTCGCGTAGTTCCTTTTCTGCAAAAGGCAGCTAGTAGAGACGGAGAGCAGGAATTTTATTCCTTCCTCTGCTTCATCCAGTCCCGTTATTATGACGATTGCGGGGGGATGATTCGTACGTGCACGCATTTGATAGACTTCTGTTTCTTACGAGACGTTTTTCAGCTCCCACGTTACGACCGCGTGTTTGCGAATACACGTCGCGGACAAGTAAACGCGGGTAGGAAGCAAGGATCGGCTGTGGCTGCCAGCTATGCCTTCCGCGCTGGCTAATGCATTCGTACTCATCCCCCAGTACAATAGTAATAGATGCATTTATTTATTTACGCAAATAACGGACTGTATATTTCTATCCTTACACCACAAGTACTTGCATTTAGATAGGTTTAGAGTGGAATAACTCGGTAGGGGATTTTACCGTGAGAATGCTACTACCCTGACCGTGCGGGTGTGCTTGTTGATAACTCCCGCATGACCCGTTGTCCTTAACTACTGTAGTCGGTCGTGCTGGAAAGAGTCTGCAGTACTTCTTTTTTTTATTACTTCGCTTGAGAATACTTTTTATTATACGGTGACGACTGTTAGGTTTGATGGCTTTAAAAGGGAAGCAGAAATTTTTTTTTTTAAGGATAGGCCTTTCAAAGGGTATTAGCCGCAGGGCTTACATGGAAATTCCCCAGAGCACCAGTTGCAGGGGATGGTTTTGGCTTTCGCGTCTGCTGGTGGCTTCCTGGAGGGAATGGAATGCTGGGGACTTGGTATGATTCAGCAGGGCCAATTTGAACAAGCGCAGGTAGGTTTGGAAGAAAGATCTTTAACCTGCAGGTGGAAGGGCTAAGGAGGAAGGAGAACGGTGCTTCTGGGATGACAAATGGATTGGGCTGTGGTATCTGGGTTCCTCCTAGGACAGAAGGCCTTTATGCAGCATTAAAACGCAAACTAAAGCTTGCAATCATGTGCATACAACTTACTTGGAAGTCCTGTTGACTTGAGCATCCACGTAGACCTGCGTAGAATTGGGATGTAAAGAAATTAGTGGGGGCCAGCCTTTTGGGGCAAGTGTGTGCTGAATACAGGCTAGAGTGTGCTATGATATACATATCTGTCCTTCTGTATTGTAGTCACTTTTATAGTTGGGCGGGGGGAAAACCTTCCAAGGTTGATTTCCATGTGCAGTGGCACCAAGTGGCATGGTGTTGCGTGGTTTAGGTCTACGAAGCTGAAAAGCTGTAGAGCAGGGCATGCCTCCAGCATTGTGCCTACAGCAGCACATGAGACTGTTTACTTGGCAACTGGGGGCCTGATCTCCAGCCAAGCAAAGCTTCCTCTGGCATCCATGCTGAAGTCAACAGTGCAAGAAGGGCATGGCAAGTGGCATGGCTTATGCCAGTCATCACCTCCCAGACCTGAATATCCACCAGCCAAGTCCAAGGCAGATCCCTGAGATGCTGGTACCAGTAGTGGGGCTTGGCACGCTTCAGTAATCTCCCAAGTACAATCCTTGTCTTCCCTTCCCCGCCCTTTTTTTTGCTGTTAAACCAGCACCTTCACAGGTAGATGTCAAAAACTTTCTGAGCCTTTGAGTTGCCCACCTTAAGTACTGCAGGCCTTCCAGACCAAACAAGACTCCAACCTAGCATCTTTCACCTGTGAATCTAATTTTCAAAAATCTAAAAAGGTAAATGCAAAGTTAAGTTGCTGCCCTCAAACAAGTCTTCAGATACACCTCACATTAACAGATTGCTTGTCCAAAAAAAATCGGTTGCTTGTACATTTAATTTGTGTAGTTGCTTCCATATACTTACTTTGTCACCCAATTTACTTGTTGTTCTAATCTGTTTTATGTTGTCATTTACATGGCAGGTTTATTTTACAGAGCATCAAACTAGTTTCCCAGCTTGCATTCCGTCTTCCATTGGAAACCATAACCTTTTTTTTTTTTGCAATACAGTTTTTCCTCCTGCTAGATGCATAGAAATATTTTTGTTTAGTCCTTCTGGTGTAACTGTGGAGCTACTATTTTTGCTGTCTGCATTTGTTGAGTCAGACTGGGAAGTGATGTTTTTGGCATCTTTCGTTCTCACCATTAATGCATTTAAACTTAGGCAAGGAAATACAACAGCAGCAGAAAGTGAGTGGAGTCTAATGGCTGAGCTCCTAATCAAAAGGCCCATGGCTTAGATCTGGCTTCTGCTGTGAATTGAGTAGGCAAATTACCCCACCCATCTTTAATAAGAGTGATAACATGCATTTACCATGCACGATTGCTGTATTGTAAGGAATACATGGAATGTGCTTTGAACAGTTGAAACCACTATAGAAAAGATATAGTGCAGTTCATAATCATTCACCAACTTTTGGATGATTATTCTATATAAACCATTTTAGAAGAGGCGTTCCTTCCAGTGTAACAGATCACCAGGAATGCCTTTTCTAAGATGTGACCTCTCTCTCGTGTTTTTCTGTAATACCTGTTTTCTAAATTACCTGCTTAATTGGGGACACGTTTTTACTTAAAGGATATTTAATTGCTGAACTAGTTAATCAGCTAAATAAATTTTGAAGACTAGCTGTTTTGCTGTTTCAGCAGCTGTGTTTTTAAAAACAAATTGTTTTGTGCATCTGGCAGTGGGAAAGCAATTAATATATATATTTATTATCAATACATAAAATCCATGCATAATTTTTTTTGTACATAAATAAGTGTTGTATGTCCTTTTCCCAGCTGTTCATCTGACCAAGCCACCTCTTCTTTAAAACATACGTACATGTAGAATTTAAGCTTTTCGGATACCATGATCAGAGCACAATCCATAAATCTTGGGATCAATTCCACTGAAGTAAATTGGCTGTAACAGAATAAAATGCTTTTAAATTTACTATCTTGGTTGGCAGCTGGTACAGTTGACCTTTCTGCAGCTGTGCAGGCTTAACATTTCAACAAATTAAAAGCTTCAGTTATGGATTCAGACATAATACAAATCAGAGTCTAAACAGTAATCAAACTCTTAAAAATAAACTGGCTCTGGATGATGCCTGACAGACATAGCCAGTTATCTATCCAGCAAACCAAGTACAACATCCCATTATGTTGTTTCGCTATTCAGTGTAATAATATAATAAGCTGTCAAAACTTTAAATTACCTACAGGCTCTTTCTGGGTAATTTCTAAGATGCATGATGAGAGCAGAATACTTGAACTTTCAGTGACTGAAATAGACGGTGAGCAGTGAAACTACCCGGTGTATACAGTGGCTGCCTTCATAGTAATGATGATAATAACTGTGACATCAAGTCACACAGCCACTTTATGGCAACCCCAGGACCATGGGGGTTTTCAAGGCAAGAGAGGTTGGTTTCTCATTGCCTTTTTCTGCATAGCAGACCCATTCTTCCCTGGTGGTCTCCATCCTTGCACTAACCGTAGCTGACCCTGCTTAGCTTCCAAGCTTCGGTGATGTCAGGCTAGACTGGGCTGTTAGGCTTCAGATATCCACTTGGCCATTAAAGTCTGCTGGGTGACCTTGGGCCAGTCACACACACTCAGCCTTAATCTATCTCATAGGGATGTTGTGAGCAGTGTTCCCTCTAAGCTGAGTTAGTGTGAGCTAGCTCACAATTTTTTAGCCTCCAGCTCACATATTTTTATCCTAGCTCAGGAAGGAGGGCTCCAGAGCAAACTAATTTATGCAGTAGCTGAATCGCTCGCTCACAACCTTAATGCCAATAGCTCACCAAGTAGAATTTTTGCTCACAAGACTCCACAGCTTAGAGGGAACATTGGTTGTTAGGGTACAGTAAAGAAGAGAAGGCTGTAAGCTTCTTTGAGTCCCCAGTGGGAAGAAATGTGGGGTATCAATGAAATAATAAAATTAATCTATGTAGTAATCTGTTGGGTTTTGTGCTAATAATTATTATTGTATGGCAGTGTGTATAGTATAGCCAGGAGATCCTAAGGTTGTCTGGCAACCAGAAGTCTTAGCTCTTTTAGCATTATTCACCACTAGGTAGCGAGCTAGACTTGCTTTCAAGGCAAGAGATGTTTCAGAAGTGGTTCTCCATTGCTTGCCTCTGTGTCACGCCCCTGGTATTCCTTGGAGGTTACCCACCCAAATATTAGCCAGGGGTGGCCCTTCTTCGCTTCCGAGATCTGATGAGATTGAACTAGCCTGAGCTATCCAAGTCAGGATTTGTGCTAGTCTTTGTGCTCTACAAATAAGCATGTTTTTTAAAAGCCTTACTACTAAAGTATATTGAAGAGTTTTATTAGGGAGCTATCCTAAACAGATTTCCTTGGGAGTAAGTCCCATGTTATTCAGTGGGGCATCTACCTTGGAAAGTATCCTTAGGGTGGCAGCCCTTGTTTTCTTTATGTCATCACTTATTTTTTAAAATATTATTATGTCTATATGCAGTGAGTTCATAAAATACAATAAATGTATCGTGATACGATATGTTTTTACACAAAGTACTTATCAGCTTAAGTTGGAGTCATATTTAGGTAATGTTTATTCAGCTTATTATGTTACTACAGGGTTTTCTTCCAGTACTGTGTTTGTGCATTTTAGCACATTTAGCATTGTGTGTTTTAGCATATTTCCCTCTTCTCTCTGCTGCCTCCGTTTAATAAAGTGAATTTCAGTCACGATGTAATACATGCTCAAGCGTTTCTGTTGGGAGGGTAGACGTTTGGATTTGTCACTCTATGCTAATGGCCCATTAAATAAACTTAAAAATAATTTCTGAACTTACATGTGTTCTTATATAGGCAAACTCACAATAACCTGACTCCTGAAGGAGGGATGACGTGTAATGGACCAAATAGCTTTGAAACTGGTGGCACTCGCGATACTGACCCTGACCGAGAGCTGGCAAAAGAGTGCTCACGACTGCAAACGTTTACCACATTTCCAAGTCATTGCCCTGTTTCTGCCTTAACTCTTGCCCGAGCTGGCTTCTTCTACACCGGAGAAGGGGACAAAGTCAGGTGCTTCAGTTGTCACGCAACCGTAGAAGGATGGCAGCAAGGTGACTCGGCATCAGGAAGGCACAAAACTGTTTCTCCTAACTGTGCGTTTATTAGCGGCATGGACTGTTGGAGGAACGGTGCGCATTCTGCTCTTCCAAACTCTCACCAGCTATCCGAAGGCTGCCTTGCAAACGCCACTTGGCAACAATCTTCTGACCCCTCCTCTGACCTCTATGCAGATTATCTGTTGAGAAGCGGGCAGGTGGTGGATCTTTCGGACAGCCTTTATCCCAGGACTCCTGCCATGTGTAGTGAAGAGGCCAGGCTGAGGTCTTTCCGTAACTGGCCTACCTATGCTCCTGTCACGCCGGCAGACTTAGCCAATGCAGGGTTATATTACACCGGCATCGCAGATCAAGTGGAGTGCTTCTGTTGTGGAGGCAAACTGAAAAACTGGGAACCTTCTGACCAGGCTTGGTCAGAACATAGACGTCATTTCCCTAGGTGTTTGTTTGTCCTCGGTCGTGATGTTGGGAATATTGAAAATCAGTCTAGCAATGCAGAACTGGATAGAAGTGAAGTACATAATGCCAGTCTCCCAAAAAACCCATCTATGGCAGGTTACGAAGCACGACTCAAGTCCTTTCTAATGTGGAGATATTTGGTTAGCAAGGAGCAGCTTGCTCAAGCCGGGTTTTACAGCATAGGTAAGCTGGACGCAGGGTGTCATAACTTGTCTTGCCACTGTGCATGGGATAAATTCTGTACAATATGATTCACAGTACGTAGCAAGATTATTGCACAGCTCAACACCTGGTTAGCAAACAATGAATTTAAAATTGTTAATAGTATATAATTACTGTATACACCAAGAAGCTGTGCCATAGTGAGATTTTTTTGCAAGTACTGAAGAAACTTCCTTTAAAAATATTGGCTATATTTGGGGTTGCGTCTTGTACACTTGAACTTCCCCTCTTCCTGTGCTTGGTTCTGGGTAAATTTGAATTTATTAAATTCAGTTTATGGCACCCTCCCTTCCTCCCTCCCCCAGTCACAGAAGGTTGAAGTGAGAAAGAAACAATATATTTATGACAAGAGTTAACACTTGGATAGATTAAAATCTGTTTTCCAAGGCCCAACACCCCCCTCTGTTTACATAAAAAAGTACCACTCAAGGAAATGTTCCTAGTTGATTGCAATGGAACATATGGGTAGATACACTGAAGATGTTTGTGAAAGTTCTCCTTTTTAATTTTTCATTTAACAATATAAATAAAGAGAACAAAGAAACACGTGACTACTGAAATGATCCATTCCCTGCTCTTCCTCCCCAAAATCGCGACCTGTTTGAATGCCTTTCTATATGAGGATAGGCAACCTTCTTGGCCTGAGTGCTGGAAAAAAACACAATGCATTTGATGGGCCAGCAAACAAAATGTTTGGGGGGGGGGGGGGGGAGAAGAAGCATGTTTTTGATGAAGATTAATCTTAGCCAGATGTGCTTGGAGCAAACCAAGCCCAGCAATGCAGCCAGCATCTCAGGGGTTTGCTTTGGACTGATCTGATGTCTATGTGGGTCTGGGAGGTGACAAGAGGAAAAAGCCAGGACTGGTGCCTTTTCCTGCACCACCGACCCCAGCAGTATTGCCAATGCCCTGGTTGCTTGGACAAAAATTGAAAAGTCCAGCACTTCTGAAAACTTCGACACCGATTTTTAATCTTCGGATGATTTTAGTTAGTTGGCTCCGCCCCAAGTGTAGTTAGGTAATTTTTAATCTCTGGGCTCAGCCTGGGTTTTATGTGACTGTTATTATGTACCTTGACATATTTATGTCTATTTTATGTACCTATTTTACCCCCCTTTGGTATCCTCTTGGTCAAGACTTCGGTCATAAAGACCTGTAATAAATTGAAATTGAAATTGAAAAATCTGGCCCTGGGTGCCACACAAAATGAGCTCGTGTGTTGCATTCTGTACTAATAGAACAAGGATTTTTTCCCGCAGACAGTCCTGATTAAAAATAAACTTACGGTACCTTAAAACTTGGCAAGTTTTTATGCCAGCATAAACTTCTGTGGACTAGAGCCCCACCTCTTCAGAAGCAGTGAGGGGATCCTCACTCTGCATTCATTTTATATAGGTGGGTTTTTAAAAAGTGGGGTCTGGGGGGTCAACGGAATGCAGGAAGTACAGAATGAAATTTAATTATGGATTGGCTCTAGACACGTGTTTCTGCAGGCGCAAGGACTTGTGTCTGTATTGTGCGATTTTCCTGCCTTCCCACTCCTGGGGCAGCCCAGAAACGCCCCTGGAAATAATTTCTTGGGAAGGGATCTCCTTAACCCAGGAGCCACTGTTGAAGCTGAACATTCCCCTACCTGGGATCCTGCATCTCATCGGTATCAGAGGCCTGTGATGTGTAGCTTGCAGTCTGTCATTTTATTTCTTGCCTCTTTGCCTAAGACAAAATTCGTACAGCATCTGGTCTATCCCAGAATCTGTTTTGCCCTTCTTTGTGTTTATCAACACTTTTTGTAGGCACACACAGTTTGATGATTTGCTTGTATGGATGAATTCTATCCTTATTTTGGCTGTGTGGAAACATATGTGCTTGATAAGCAGCTTTCCTGATGTAGGCTGTGATTGTGCTGCAGTTACTTCTGTATTGTACATGGAGAATGTAATACTTTTTATTTTTCCTGCCCCTTATTTGGAATAATGGTCAGATGAGATGCTGGAAGATCTGTCTCTAGTGTGTTTTATCTTGTGAAGTGACCGAACAGACTATAGTTTAAGGCCGCAGAATTCAAGCGGTGTTCCAGGAAAACCTGTAGATACCTAGAAGCTTAAGAGGGATTCGTGTATATATTTATAACACCACCTTTCTCCCCAATGGGGACCCATGGTGGCAGAAGGGGGGGGCTGAGTCTTCCAGAGATTAGCCCAGTACTCTGCCTATTATACCACACTGCCTCTTGAATGAAAGCATCAGTAATAGCAGAGGAGCTTCCTAAAAAGGCAGCTTGTTCAGTAGTACTGTCCTTTGTAAATGCAGTCCTTGAGGAGTGATGAATGTGTTCTGGGATTAGGGCCAATTGTGGGGAGGTGTAGGGCCATTTGGTCCAGGCCTCAGGCTCAAAGGGGCCTGCTGTTTGGATGCTTTTAATTGTCTGGAACAGAGGTGTTGAACTCATTACCAGGGTTGGATCTGACATAAATGTCACTTTGTTGGTACAGGCCACATGTGTCATAAAATGTAACACGAGGTACCAGAGATGATTTCAGATGCCTGATGGCAATAGCAGGCTTGATTGGATTAGGTGTGATATGCAGAGGGGTAGTGGGTGTGGAGATATCAGCATTGTTAATGAGACAGGAAATCTAGGTCTCAGTTTGGTCCAGAAGGATTTAATCCAGGAGGATACAAAGAATAAATGGAAATAAGTGTAAAGAAGTGAGCAGTGACTCATAGAAGTTCATACCCTATCACAAATTTTGTTAGTCTTTAAGGTGCTACTGGACTCTTACTGTTTCTACTGCTATTAGAAAATACAACATTTTTAAAAAAACAGTGGGGAAACCTTATAACCCTCTAGGACATTCAGTTGCTGACCTAAGAGTAGCAGATCTACTCTTAGGTCAGCATTACAAAGGGATTTCATTACAAAGGAATTACAAAGGAATTTCAAAGGGAGATGAGAAAGAAAGACTGCTCAATTGCAACTGATAATGAAGCTCAAGACAATACATCCTCTTGGAATGAATTGAGACCTAGGTGTCTTCTCTCCTTACCAATGCCTGCTATTGTCATTTGGCATCTGAAATCACTTCACTCTCCAAGATATCTCCAAGATATAAGGACAGATGGACTCACATTCTGGCTGTATCTGAAGAAGTGAGCAGTGACTCATGAAAGGTGCTATTGGACTTTTGCTACCTTCCACTAATAAAAATTGCAAACTGTGCTGTTAGGTTTCTCCCCCATCCCCATTGGTTAGGACTGGAAGGGGGGATCCCCCCCCCTCAAGAAGTGTGTGTGTGCACACAAATGCAATAAAACTTTGTTGGTCTTAAAGGTACCACTGGACTCTCCCTCTCTACTGGACTCTTGCTCCCTTCCACTAATAAAGATTGCAAACTGAACTGTTAGGTCCCCCCCCCCCCGGTCTGTTAGAACTGGAAAGGAGGATCTCTCTCTCTCTCTCTCTTTCACTCCCCCTCCCTCCCTCTCTTTGAAGAAGTGTGCTTGCATATGAAAGCTTACACCTGGAATAAAACTTTTTTTGTCTTAAAGGTGCTATGGGACTCCATCTCTCTTGTTCTCTTTCCGGCTCCCTTCCCCTCACTTCCTCTCCAAAGGAGGAGGAGCAGTCAGCCAATCGAGGGAAGGAAGGCTTGGCTTTCTCCCCTCTGTGAAGCAGAAAGCAGGAGAGAAGAGAGCTGGGCAAAAGTGAGCTGTAATGCAGGAAGCAGGCGAGCGCCAGTTGCTCACGGGCCAGATAGGAGCCGTGCAGGGGCCAATTCTGGCCCACAGGCCGGCCATATGTTTGACATCCTTGGTCTGAAATTTTATAACATTTATTACCAGTTTGTATGTACATCATGTATAGTAATATTTTTTATTTTTATTAATGTCCAGGGGCCTCAGAGCCTGGAAGTGTCCTGCTTTTCTCTGGACCTCTGATAAGCTTGTCTAGGGTGTGGCCATTTCCACTCTTTTCATGTTGGCCATTTCTATAGTGTCAACCAGACTTTGGCATATTTACCAGGAAATGGTATCTTTTACACACCAGTTACAAGCTGAAGTGCCCAGATGGTTTGACAGCAACTGGTCGGCGCTAGTTTCTTTGTTCTACTTCTTTGTTGGCTGCTGGAACAGCTTTTGTTTTGCTCTCTGTTTGTCCAGTTGTTGTGCAAATGACACTTGACACCCATATTGGGTAACCTCATCTGTGTAGTCTGACTGAGGAGGAATGGGATATAAATGTGAAGGGGCAGGGGAGCTTTCATAGCATAAAACAGCAATCTGCTGGCCATAGTTTTATTTGCAAGCTATAAAAAGCAAGCCCAGATTTTAATTTTTTCAGATCACTGTACCAGATCTTTCTCCTTATTCTTCATAGGTGATGGTGATAATGTTCTTTGCTTTTACTGTGGCGGTGGACTACGAGAGTGGAGGGCGAATGATGATCCTTGGGAGCAACATGCCCAGTGGTTTCCTGGGTAAGTCACTTCATTCTGTGTGTGTGTGTGTTGTATTGCATATTGTACTGGCTGCACTTTTCACATGCCTACATCCCATTTTCTTGACCAATCAGGACCTCCAGAAGAATTACTCAACAGATCACCGAGGGCTTAGAACTGGGATACTCATTCAGTGGCTTAGGTGCCACATGTAGCTTATCAATGGAGGCCCAGGTAGCAGCCTCTGCCAAAGCGGCCTTTTACCATCTTCGGCTGGTGCGGCAGTTGGTCCCCTTTCTCAGCCACAGTGATCCATGCGACGGTCACCTCAAGGCTAGACTACTGCAACACTCTCTACATGGGGCTGCCTTTGTCGCTGATTCGGAGGCTGCAGCTAGTGCAGAATGCGGCGGCCAGGCTGGTTGCTGGCGTCTCGAAATGGGATCACATCCAGCCTGTGCTCAAAGCGCTGCACTGGCTGCCTATAGCATACCGGATTCGCTTCAAAGTGCTGGTGCTTACCTTTAAAGCCCTACATGGCCAGGGTCCAGCATACCTGAGGGACCGCCTTGCCCCACATAGATCCCAAAGAGCACTTCGGTCGGGGTTGCTACATCTCCTTGCGATCCTGGGCCCGAAAGAGGCCAGGCTTGCGGCCACTAGGGCCTGGTCCTTTTCGGTGGCAGCTCCTATCTGGTGGAATGAGCTCCCAGAGGAGATCAGGGCCCTGCGGGACCTATTGCAGTTCCGCAGGGCCTGCAAGACGGAGCTCTTCCGCCAGGCTTTCAAATAGGAGCCGCCGCCGCCACCACTACCACCAATGGGGACCGTTTTACAGCACCGCCGGAGGTCAAGTGGCAAATAACATCAGGAGGCCACAGCAACCTCCCCTGGGATGAAAGGGCTGTGCAATAGGGAGAGAGGGTTTTAGTCACGTGGGATCCTTGGGCTTGGCCCATGTATTAAGTGTTTTAAATTGTTTTATTGCTGTTTTATCGCACTGTGTGCCATACTCTTGTAAGCCGCCCTGAGCCCGCAATGCGGGGAGGGCGGGGTATAAATAAAATAAAATAAATAAATAAATGTAGCTCTTCTGAGCACCATTGGCCAATGTAGCAGCCACCACGTGTTTCAGGAAAGCAAGTAAGGCCATTGCCCAGTGGTACCTGCAGTTGGTGGGGGGAGTCTCACTTTGAAACAACTACCAGTGGTGAATGGGTAAGCTGTGAGTGTCCTTGAGCTGCAGGCCTCATGCCAGAGATGGAATAAAGGGCTCGTTCTCTCCAGCTTATGTACTCATATCTTAGCACCCAGGAAGGGGAAGAGCAAAAAAAGAGCGGGATACAAATTGAATAAATAAATAAAGCATATGAAAACATTAATTTTTTTAACATCCCATACAGTGATGTGGATTTTTCTGAAAAATGTCATTCAATTTTTAATAAATAATGTAAATATCATTTGAAAAATTTAAATAATGGTAACAAAAGAAGGCAAAATCACTGTGTAGAAGCCCAGGCCATGTATAAACACTGGTGGGGTATGTCCATGCTTTGTATCCCACCTTTAGCCTTTCTGACATAATTGATTTGCAGTCCAACAGCTCTGACACCTAGAGATAAACAGAGACTATATTTTCATATATGACTTTGAATGCTACAGTGTGGGGAAGTATATATTTTAATCTTTCCTGTTCTTATTATTTGAGACACATCTCCTGCTCCTAGTTTAACATCCAGGACCTGCTAGGGGAATCTGTCCACTTTGCCATTTAAAGAGTCGTTGTAGGTAGCGATGTTGGTTTTCCAGAAAAATCTGAATCTTCCAATCCTCTAAATAATGTGATTTGACCTAGCACATTTGACTTTTTTGTTCCCCGCCACACACACGCTTCCTCAATAGGCAAGCAAAAGATCTAATATTTAGTAAACAGAACTAAACATGTAACTCATGTCAATTTTATGTGCAGTATAACTGTATCAAAGTTTTCCCAGTGGTCACAAAGTGTTGGAACTGAAGGGGGAAATTAAATTAAGCACACAATATAGTTTAAATGTTATATTCAAACACGTTCAAAACTTTACGTGGAAGTTACTTTATTGGAATACTTGTAAAAATTAAGACTATAGCATATACTTCCCTTAGGTTGATTGTTTACATTGAAGCAGAAAACATGAAGACTCTGAAAAACTACAACTGAACACACTAATTATGAGAAGACAAAAGAGTTACTGGAAAAGAGAGTAATATTAAGAAAGGTCGAAGGCAGCAGGAAAACAGGAAGACCCAACATGAGATGGATGGACTCAATAAAGGAAGCCAGGGGTCTTAGTTTGCAAGACCTGAACAAGGCTGTTAATTAATGACCTCATTAACAAGGTCACCATAAGTTGAAAGTGACTTGATGACACTTAACATAGACATACACGCACATACACTTCTTGTCGCTCTCCAGAAGCAAGAGATTTTGTGAAATAGAAGTCAGCTTAGCAAAGTGTTCATTTGCTACTCTGTTCCTCCTTTTGGTCATGTAAAAGAAACTGGAAGGCTTTTAGCTCAAACAAGAATGCAGAATGTGCAGGGTACTTATGGCAGTTGTCTGAACAGCAATCAGGTGTTGCAGTGTCCCTTTCCTCGTGTCAGAGGAGTTTTTCCTTTTGCAGAGTACTTTGCAGTATCTGTATCCAAAGCGGAAGATAATTCAGCTTCTGTTAGGTGTTGAGGATCCAGAAGGTTTGCTGCAACATAAGCTGGATGAGAGCAGAAGGGTTTGGTGTGTCTCCTTCAGGCTTCTTAATAGCCACTGAAACTGGTGGTAGCAAACTGAATACTTTTTTAACTTGAACCCAGAACACAGCTTTGTCAAGAATCTTCTTCCCAAATGCGTACAGCAATAATATGGGTTACTGTGTCATCTACCGAAGCACCCTTCATGCATGTCTTTATATGTAGCAGACTCTCTTAAACGGTCTGTAGGCAAGCCCAATCTGGTTTCTGCTGGAAGTAAAAAACTCCCTTTTCTTTCCCTGTATCTTTCTCTGTAATTTCTTTGAAGTCTGATGAATGATGATGGTTGAATGCCATCATGATTGCCCTGCAGTTTGTCCATATTATCTTCATTGTATTCACAAGTTAATATATCCTTTGCTAGAATATATCCTGGCCCCACTGCTGGACCTCCTGATGGCACCTGGTATTTTTGGTCACTGTGTGACAGAGTGTTTGACTCGATGGGCCATTGGCCTGATCCAACATTGGCTTCTCTTATGTTCTTAGAAGTTTCAGCCTGAGCAAGACAGCCAAATATTAAATAATTAAAATAGTATTTGTCATGCAGCTTTCATGTTACTTGCATTGTCTATTACAGGGGATTGTACTTTGGGGGGACCTACACTTTCATCCTCTTTACTCAATACATTGGCTGTGTGTTCACCCATGTGACAAGATTTGGTATCAGTTGCTTTCAGGAATATTGGTTCAGGTGTTGTGAACATGGTGTTTGATAAAAGATTTCCTTGCATGTTGGTCCATACATCTAACATCAGCATCAGTGATTCTGCTGGACCAGTCCTTTGAACAGCCATTGTTTGAATGTTCTCATATTCTTAATCAAAGAAAGAATGTGATAAACGATAATGTGATGGTAATTTATGATAGGCAAATTAGTTTGTAATGTTCCTTCCAGGATTGCTTTTTGGTTATGTGAAGAGGTATACCACTTTCAAGTACCGCTCAAGCCAATGCCTCATCTGCTTCAGAAAAAGTTTAACTGTCTTGAACAATTCTACTGACAAATTATTGCTTTTTGGTTATGTGAAGAGGTGTACCACTTTCAAGTACAGCTCAAGCCAATACCTCATCTGCTTCAGAAAAAGTGTAACTGTCTTGAACAATTCTACTGACAAATTACAAATCTGAAGAAGTGAGCAGTGACTTATGAGAGCTCATGCCCTGACACGAATTCTGTTAGTCTTTAAGGTGCTACTGGACTCCTGCTTTTTGTTTTTTTACTGCTACAAGCAGACTAACATGGCTACCAATCTTGTACAGGTCTGATGTCACTGGTCTAGCCTCTCTTTTCTTCAGACTTGTTTTGGTGTTAATTGCTAAGCCTGTGAGCTAACGCAATAAAGCTTATGATTGATTTATCTAGTCTTGGCAGCTTTGTTGAATCTCCAATTTCACTTGAGCTGTTGAGGTTCTGCAACAAAAAGTGGAATACTTTTAGCCCAGCAGTGTCCGAACTATGACCCTTCAGACATTCATGACTACAGTTCTTATCACCCCAGCCCACTGGTGATTCCAGCTGGGGCTAATGGGAGATGCAGCCCATGAATATCTGGAGGGCTGTAGTTGGGACATCCATGTTTCGGCCTGTTCTCCTCTGGCAATGGAGGGAACAGTGGCAGGGAGCTACTTTCCTCCCTCCCTGACAGAAAGGAACACTCTGTTGCGCCAGTTACTTGTTCTGAGAGTGCAGAAGGTGTGGTTATTGGTAAGAGGACTAAGTTTTGCTGGATTGCAAAAAAAATACCGTTATGTAAGCACAATAATAGGATACAGGTCGGGGTTTTCCCTCCAACTCAATAATAGTTCAGACTCCAGTTACTTGCTCTGTGAGTGCAGAAGGTGTAATCATTGGTAAGAGGCCTAAGTTTTGCTGGATTGCAAAAAAAAAAAAATACTGTTGTGTAAGCACAATAATAGGATACAAGTAGGTTTTTTCCCTCCAACTCAATAATAGTTCAGACTTAAGAGTTGTGTTAACAACTTTAAAAGAGCTTTATTGCTTTAAACCCACAATATTTTTTCAAGAAGATATATGCTAATCTGCTGTATTGTTGAAGATGTTAATTTGCTTAAAGTAGACTTTTCCCAGAAGATCATCTGCCACTTCATAGTACTTTCCCATAGGTAGCATGTATTTCTTTTACATATGTGGCGTATATTTCATGTTGTTAAATGCCTTCTTGTTTTTGTTCCATTGTTAGCATACTCCTGCTCAACATATTTATATTTACCGACTGTCTTGATTTCTTCCGATGGTTGCACTGTAGTGATTCCACACACTAGCTTCTTTAGGTTTTGGCAGTATTATGACTAATTCAAAGTAACAAAAAAAACACTAGAAAACACTAACAAAGTAACAAAAAACACTAGAAAACACTAACAAAGTAACAAAAAACACTAGAAAACACTAACAAAGTAACAAAAAACACTAGATCTTATGCAAACACTTCCACCTTCCCCAGCTAAAGACAAAAAAAAATGGGACCCTGCTTATGCGTGTTTGAGGAAAGTGAAACAAAGAAAATTAGTTTTTCTTCAGCGTTTTACTGCATGGTAGCAAAAGTTACCTCAATCTACAATATTCAGTTGACTCATTCACTTCAGGATTCTACAGTAAGTGTGTGGTTTTATCCTCAGTAACCAATTTTGGGCAGCAAGTTCAGTCATCTAATTGAATGAATGGATGGGCTTTGAGTTGCAGAGGGCTATCTTTGTAGTCTTGCTCCAGCTGCCTGTGTATCTCCTGCAGTGAGCAGATGGTGCCTCCACATGTGGCCGAATAGGTTAATTACTTCAGTAGGAGAGTGACATTCAAGTTGCTTGAATGTGTGTGGCTGGCAGAAGATTGTTGAAAACAAATATGTGTGAAAGCTTTCCTTTTTTTTGCAGATTGTTGTTGATCAGAAAATCCATACAATTGTTAGCATCTGATGAATAGACTTGCACCAATTGTGCTATTAGCCGATTTAATAGACTGGCTTTTTTTTTTTACTTTTATGTTTCTGCACCTTATATCCATCACAATCCAAATCTAATATATGTTTCTCCTTTTTTTTAAAGATAAAGGATACTGAAAATTCATCACATATCGGAGGTACGTATGCCAGTGTTCACAATGGGCCTGCTCAATTTTGTAACAGCAAGTTTGGTGTAGTGGTTAAGAGCGCGGATTCTAATCTGGGAGAACCGGGGTTGATTCCCCACTCCTCCACATGCAGCTGCTGGGTGACCTTGGGCAAGCCACAGTTCTCTCAGAGCTGTTCTCTCAAGAGCAGTTCTCAGTCAGAGCTCTCTCAGCCCCACCTACCTCACAGCCAGTGTTCCCTCTAAGCTGAGTTAGAGTGAGCTAGCTCACAGTTTTTTAGCCTCCAGCTCACACATTTTTGTCTTAGCTCAGGAAGGATGGCTCCAAAGCAAACTAATTTATGCAGTAGCCAAATTGCTCACACACAACTTTAATGCCAGTAGCTCACAAAGTAGAATTTTTGCTCCCAAGACGTCACAGCTTAGAGGGAGCATTACTCACAGGGTGTCTCTTGTGGGGAGAGGAAAGGAAGAAGATTGTAAGCCGCTCTGAGACTTCGAGTGAAGGATGGGGTATAAATCCAATCTCTTCTTCTACAGTGAAATCAGCTGCCTAGGAAGGTGGTGAGCTCCTCCTCACTGACAGTTTTTAAGCAGAGTCTGGACAAACACTTGCCAGGGATGCTCTAGAATGATCCTGCATTGCGCAGGGGGTTGGACTAGATGGCCCACATGGTCCCTTCCAACTCTGTGATTCTATGATTCTTCTTCTTCAAGCTGAACACAAGCCAACAGCCATGCATGCCGAGCCGACTGAACAGGTTCTCCAAAAAGCTTGCGATTTTAGTTCTCTTAATGTAGTATTGCAGGAACAAGGGTTTTTTTGAGCATTTTGCTGGCCATGGCACCAGCTGTCGATCTGTGCTTGGCTTGGAAGATCACAAGTTGTGCAAGCCTGGTTGAATAGGAATAATTTCTGGACTTGTTCTTCATGGCTTTTTAATCACTGGATAGAGCACAAATTGCCTTATAAATTTATCCTGATTGGAAAGGTTTTCTGATTGGGTCTTGTACTTTCTTGATGGAATCTCATGTGTGTTCATGGTTTGCGTAATCTCATGCATTACTTTTTCTCACTCTCTCACTCACACACACACACATTTTCTTTTCACGTGTGAGTGTTTCTAAAGCTTACCAGTTGAGGATAATATTTCATGTATCTCACCAAAATAGGCTCCCAGCCCACAGGTGCTTTACACAAGACTCTGTTGTTGCAAACATTCTTTTTGCTTCAATTTAAAAAAAATGAGATGAGAGGTGGGGAAATGTTAATTTGCTTATGTTGGAGGCTTCAGTTCTCTTCCTATAAAGCCTTTGATGGCAAAAATGATTAATGAACAGCTATCATGACGTTAACACTTTATTTTAAGTATGTGTAATGATTCAGTACTTTCAGGTCACAACCTATATTTTAAGAAATATTTATTAAAACATTTATATCCCATCTTTCCCCTTGGTTCAAGGTGGCTTGCAATAATTTCCAGGTATCATTTTTCATCTACTGTTTGTACTGCAGATGAAGAACTTTCACAGAGCCATATTGTCCAGGATGTGATGCAGATGGGTTTCAGCCTGGATGAAATAAGGAAGGCTATGGAAAGGAAACGCCACCTGTCTACTGAACACCACAGATCCATTGAGGCTCTGGTTGCAGATTTAATAAATGCACAGCGTGAAAATATATGCAGTCCATCTTGCGAGAGCACTCTACAGAGAGGTGAGCACAATGCATTGTAAAACCTTATAATTGTAACAAGAATTGTGAGTGAGAGATGTTTTTGCTTGGGCAGGATGGGGGGAACACAAAAGCTTTTGAGTAGGGGTGTGCACACAAAAAAAAATCAGAATTTTTCAGATTTGGGTCTACTGTGCCCAAAAAATGTTGGTATTTGCCGATATTCCCGAAACCCAGTATTGGTATGATACTGGGGATCGGGAATTATCGGACTAGCTGAATAATTCGACTCAATTATACCCTATGGGGACTGTCCCTATAGCAGTGGTGGCGAACCTATGGCACGGGTGCCAGAGGTGGCACTCAGAGCCCTCTCTGTGGGCGAGTGTGCCACCGCCCCAACCAGGCCCAGACCATCATTAAAGTGTCGAATTCTCTGCCAAATAATTTTAAATAAATGAAAGCATTTGGGATTGCTTTCCTTACTTTGTTTGGATCATCTTAAGTTGATCTGGTCCATGGGGTCGCGAAGAGTCGGACTCAACTGTGCGACTGAACAACAACAAAGTTAATGTATGAGTTGTTTTTTTTCTAAAGTAAAACTTCAGTATTCAGGTTAAATTGCCATGTTGCAATAAATAAGTGGCTTTTGGGTCACAGTTTGGGCACTCGGTCTCTAAAAGGTTCGCCACCACTGGCCTAGAGCATCTCTGACAAATATCCGTCCAGTCTCTTCTTGAAAGCTGCCAGTGAAGGGGAGCTCACCACCTCCCTGTGTAGCTGATTCCACCTCTGAACCACTCTGACCGTGAAAAAGTTTTTCCTAATCTCCAGCCGATACCTTTCTGCATGTAATTTAAACCCGTCGCTTCGGTCCTCTCCTCTGCTGCCAACTGGAACAGCTCCTTGCTGCAAGGCTGCAAAGGACAGCCTTTCAAATATTTAAAGAGAACAATCATGTCCCCCCCCCCTCAATCTCCTCTTCTCCAAATTAACTATTGCCTGGAGAGTGCCCCCCCCCCCGCCTCCCGAATGCACATCCCTACTTTTGACACCTCATCTAGTTGTGTGAGGTTTTTAGGACCAGAAACGAGAGTCTGAATCCTTCATTTAGCTCCATATTACTCCATTGGCTGAGTTCTCTGGGGCATGAGCTCTGTGGGATTTCCGTACTTAGGGACCCATTGATTACAAAACTTAAAATGCATACTTCATGTGTCGAAGGCACTTTGTGTAAATTGTTTCAGTAATCATTGCAGGAGCCATAAAAGGTACTCCACGGCAGTCTTCCCTCTGAGTTGAGTTAGTGTGAGTTAGCTCACAGTTTTTTAGCCTCTGGCTCACACATTTTTGCCTTAACTCAGGAAGGACGGCTCCAGAGCAACCTAATTTATGCAGTAGCCAAATTGCTGGCTCACAGATTTAATGCCAGTAGCTCACAAAGTAGAATTTTTGTTCACAAGACTCCCCAGCTTAGAGGGAGCATTGCTCCACATTCCAGTGGATATCGCAGGGAGACCCTCTCACCAAGTGCCACCCTCTATCCACAGCCCCGGCCTGGTGGAACATGCTCCCACTGGAGATCAGGGGCCCATGGGACAGATTACAGTTCCGCAGGGCCTGTAAAACAGAGCTGTTCTGCCAGGTCTTTGGGTGAGGTGGCAGGCGTCCAGTTATTCCATCTACTGGCCTCCCTTCCATCTTCAAACGGCCCATCAGATGAAGACCCACGATCTGGCCTATGGCCTAGCAGCTCCAGTTTTCAATATTATTATGCTAAACTGCAGTGCTATCTGTCTTTAGTTTATAGCTTGTTTTTAATTGTTTCAAGTATTTATTGTGGAATATTTGTTGTGGAATGTTTTAACTTCTGTTGTGGATTCGTTGTTGTCATCTGCCCTGAGCCTGCTTTCAGGGAGGGTGGAATACAAGGTGAAACTAATAAATAAATAAATAAATAAGCCAGCGGGTTGGGTCCTACCAGCTTTTCTCTAGCACAAGAAAGAGAAAGGGGTTTTCTTGCCCAGTTCACCTGCGCATTCCTCACTGCAGGCTCCATCCCACATGGATTCCAATCCCAGATGCACACACCAGTCCCCCAAACCCTGACATAACTTTCCTAGGAATGAAAATGGGCTGCTTATGGAAGAAAAGGTGGGATTATCTGCTTCTGCCAGTTGAAAACTGGTAGGATCCAGTCTATTTTGCCCATGTTGCAGGTAGAAGAGGTTATGGCTGAGAGGCAGGTAAATTGCTTGTGGCCAGTTTTCGCAGGAGCCATGATGCAGTGTGAATTGGGTACTACTTATGCAATACACTGTACCAGCGTATGTAGCTTGTGTCTGCCCTTGCTCCATAGAGCCCAGGGTGGCATACATGGAGGGTTCCCCCACCTACACTGTATCCTTGCAATGCCCTTGTGAAGTAGATAAAATTGAGATAAATGATTGGTTTGGTGTTAACCAGTAGGCTTTATGGCTGAGTGGAAATTTGAGCCCAGATTTCCCCAGTTTGAGTCCCAGCAGCAACCACTATGCCATGCTGTCTCTCTGTTTTGACGTTTTATATACAGACTCATGGGAGGGGATGTAAGGAGGGGGAAATGTAAAAGCATATACCTTTTTTTCCTTCTGAAATATTTTAATTCCTCCCACCCATAGGCCTCAGTACTGAAGAGCAGCTAAGACGCTTGCAAGAGGAGAAGCTGTGCAAAATCTGTATGGATAAAACCATCTCTGTGGTCCTTATTCCTTGTGGGCACCTCGTCACTTGTAAAGACTGTGCGGAAGCAGTTGAAAAATGCCCTTTGTGTTGCACAGTTATTGCAAAAAGGCAGAAGATCTATATGTCCTGATCAGGAGCATTGTACCATGCTAGTGCAAATCAGCACATCCATTACGATCAACAGACTATTGCTAGCTGACCATAGGAGCAGCATTAATATACAAAACTGGATTTCAAGAGGGTGTTTGTTTGGGAGTAACAGAAATTCTTCTGCTTTAACGTAGAGTGCTGAACAACTGTGCAAATCTGGTGGCTGCTAAATTGGGTGCTCTTCGTTCTAGTACTGGCTTGAGGCTGAGATAATCATTGTTGACATGAGTGTGTAAACAGGCATCAGAAACCTGTCCTAGCGTAAGTGCTGGGGGGCTGACTTGGCACTTTTCTGAGAGGAGCAGCCTGTACCAATCACCTTCTCTCCCCCACCGCCGCCTGCCTTGCAGCATGCCTCAGGGAAAGGTATTCAGAGGCCAAATGGCCAAAGAAGTGTTAAGTCTTTGGTTAGGCTAGACTATGTCAGACTGAAGTTTGAGCTTGGATGACTGAATGCTGCTCTGTTTTGTTTTTAATTCATGTCAGAGGGCTCTTTTGAAGGGGGGGGATTCTGTACTTTGAAACCCCTCCTGCCATCCATACCAGTATGCTTTAGACAGTTTTACCACCTTGAGTTCCAGGCCAAAGTGGTCAAAATCTTCTTCTCACAATTTGGGACGGTTAGTGGTTTTTAAGAACGATTCAGACTGAGCAGGCCTGAAGTTGCATATTTGGCTCTGTTATCTTTTACACGCGTTTTCCTCTCTGTGTTGTGGCCCTGGAAATCAGGTTTCCCGTTCACCTTTTTTATTATAATGGAAATAGAAAGGCTGTAATATCTCCCATCCCTAAGCTTTTGTGGTATGAGTAAACAGAGGCTGATGGCTAATCTGCATCAAAGAGGAAGGGGCCATGAGCTCAGAGCAATGGCGGAAGCAGCTTTCTCCTGGCTCCCTCAAGCAAGAAGGCAGCACTGAAGGTTGGGGTGTGTGTGTGTCTGCTTGGTTGAAAAAGCCACACAACCAGCTACCGAGGAGAGGGTTTCACAAGAGACTCCAAGGGCAGCAGAGGCAAAGAGGGTGAGCTCCCTCAGTTTTCTATCTCCACTGTAGGGGCCCCCCCAATCTATATTGCATGACTTTTCAGCTACATGATCCCCCAACTCTCAGATGCTGGAAGGTGGGCAAGATCTACCCGCTCTTGCCACTGGCACTTTCATATGCTCAAGCCCACTAGCATAGGGGAATCTTCAGAAGTGTTATTGTGGACTGTAGTAAATATGTGTGAGCCTTAGTTATTTAGAACCATAAACTAAGTGGAAAACCGAATGACTAAGGGGATCCTCGCAAATGCACACTGCTTAATACAAAGGCCAAGGGGTCTCCCCCCCCCCACTACTTAGTACAAGTGTGTATTGGTTCAGAATTTGATCGTCTAATTGCCCTGCATACACACTTGTCCAGTTCTACTCAGTAAATCTAGATGGATAAACTGCCTAAAATATAAGCAAGCAAATCTTATTTATTTATTGGGATTTTTACCCCGCCCTCCCCGTGAAGCAGGCTCAGGGTGACTTACAAGGGGCAAAGCCCATATAAAACAGGATAAAAGCAAATAAAAACAATAACAATAGCAAACAACAATGATACTCAATTGAAAGCAGGATGGTTCCTGAATATATGCAATGATGGTAAACAGACCGTTCTCTGGGGATGATCTTGTCCTATAGCTGATCCCAAGCAAGTAAGTCCGGTGATAGCAGTCACGCAACAGTTTCATGGGCAAAGAATACCAACAGTTTGACTAAGTGGTTTGTGAATTCCAGAACCGTCAGTTTCCCTTTTTAAGTTTTAACTAGAACATAATGACCCTTTAGACTCCCATTCCTCACCGGTGATTTGCACATCCATACAAAGTCATTTTGTTTATGTCAGTGATTCCAGAATAAGCAAGCTGAAGATTCTTGCCACAAATTAATCACTTATAGATTTTTGTTTGTGTTTTGCATCTAAAATTGTTCCTTGGCGTTTGGCGCTACTGTCTTTTGTCAATTCCCCCAACTCTGTTGCGGGATTAATCAGTGATGTTTTGCTCTTTGACTTTTGACTTGATTTGTCACGGCCTGATTTGCTTAAAGCATCACGATCCTGCTGCTGAGTAAAGCCTGCCAGTTTGTTCCACAAGAGCCGTTGTGCACCAGAAATTAGAACACTAGTTTCAGTCCTGTGTTTGAAATTCCCTTTGACTCAAAAGAGACCAGCACAGAGGTCGCAAGGTGTGAGACTGTGCTTGGGTCCTGATTCACAATGCTGCTGGGGGACTGCTGACACTGCTCCCCTGAGTTGCCAGAAAGACAAGTACCGTGGGGTTAAACTGTCTCCGTCCTCCCCCCAGGTATGGCCTTGAGGGTGCTGCTCTCCACAGCAGCCCCATGGATAAAGTTTTTAATATATTAGCTGGCTAGCTTGTAAAAAAAATCCCTTGCCACATGTAGAAGTGTGCAGTATTTAAATGCTCTTTAAATGCATAATGTTGTTCTTCTGGTTTACTTACTTAAAAGTCACATGTATCTGTGTTGAGTCCAGCCTTCCCAACTGTCCTGCTGCACATCCCCCATTGTATCTTCGATGAGGCTTGTGTGATAACATAGCCTGTCAAGACAAATGAAGGCTGCTGCAGCAGCCTGTGGTGGGTTGTACTTTTAGCTGGCAGTCTGTCCATCTGTCCTGTTTGTCTTTGTAACGTCAATTATCAGTCATTCCAGCAGGACACAGATTTTTCCCCCAAGGAGATCTTTCTAAAATGCAGGGTTCATTTGTACTTCATTAGGCCACTTTCTTTCCTTTGTTTTTGGAAATAAACAGAATAAATCTTTGAACTATGCATTTTTTCTAATCTGTAGACACGGACAATGTTAGAATATGTATGCATAACAGAGATTTGGAAATGAAGCTATATATTTGCTTGTAAATACTAATCATTGATCCTTGGCAGACAAAAAGACCCATTCACCCCCCCTCCCCCCATGCTGGATTAAAGCTTTAGAAAACCTATTCTAATGTACTGAAAGAAGATTTATCAATATTTTTAAAGTGCTGTAATCATGTAAAATAATCTCAGCTATTTTGCAGTTCAGCCTTGGTGACAATTTTTAATAAAGTGATTTTCTTACATGTTGCTGCCTGTTTCTCTCATCCAGGTAAGAAGTGGCAAGTGTGATTGTGAATAAGCTCTGGTCTCACTCACTCCCCCTTCCTGCCCTATCTTAATGTAAGGGAATGGGAATACTTCAGAGGAAGGTGAAACAAAGCTGTAAGTAGTGATGGCATTGGCAGTTTTGCAACCTAATTGGTTAGATCCAGCCTAAGCAGTCCACACCAACAACAGAGGCCAAGATGCTGCTTTGAACTGATTCTCCTTGTCTGAAGAAGAGATTGGATTTATCCCCCACCCTTCACTACCCAAAGGTGTCTCAGAGCGGCTTACAAACTCCTTTCCCTTCCCCTCCCCACAACAGACACTCTGTGAGGTGGGTGGGGCTGAGAGAACTCTGACACAAACTGCTCTTTCAGGAACAGCTGTGCCAGAGCTTGTGACTGACCCAAGGTCACATCAGCAGGTCCAAGTGGAGGAGCGGGGAATCAAACCCTGTTCTCCCAGATTAGAGTCCGCACACTTAACCACTACACCAAACTGGCTCTCCAGTTTGCTTCCCGGCCTGTCTGTCGACCTGCTTGACCACCTGCTCTGGATTTCACAGAAGTTTTTATGACACCTATGCAGTGAACATGAATGAGGTGGCTTACAGAATAAAACATATGCCATTCAAAAGGTTAACATCCAGCCAGAGCATAAAGACATACAACACAGCCATTTAAAATGAATTTTACCCATCTTATAAAATGTGTGAAAAAATTTGGGGAAATCGGTTTGGCCCAACACCTAAATGGAAGTAGCGGAGGTGCCCAGCGAGCCTTATGGGGAGGCCGTTCCACAGCATGGGAGGAGGTGGTCCTTCCAGTACCCTTGCCCCAAGCAATTTAGGCCTTTAAAGGGAAGACCCAATGCTTGCTTGGAAACAAACGTAGCCAGAGCAGCTGTTTCAGTGCCAGAATTTTATGATCCCTGTAGCTTGCCTCTTGACAGTAGCTTGGCTGCTGTGCTTTGGACTAGTTGAAACTGCAAGACCATTTTCCAAAGCATCCCCAGGTAGAATGTGTGGTAAAACAGTTTTTACCACAAGCGATGAGGGATTTACTCAGCTGGCTCATAAACTGCTAGACAACAATGAGGAGGTGACCTTTCCTAGCTTAGCCACTCATTTCTTCTCACAGAGGGTTTACCCTCTGCAATTAAACAGTGCAAACAGGATAAAGGGTTGGAGAACTACAAATTCTCCTGAGCCGACACTTCAGCAAAAACCTGGTTAGGTGGAAGGGGGAAGGGGGAATTTCGAAGACAAGAGTTGGCCCAACAGGAAGCCCAGAAAATGAGGAACTCAACCAGATCACTCAGCAGCCGGGGAGATTCCTGAGGTAGTCTGCCATGAAAGCAGCACCCCCAAAGGGAAAACCCAGTCCTCTACCCCACTGCTACCACCAAATGTCATTTTTATTACACTCAATTTAACCAGGATGGAATCACAGCATGGAACACTGTTTGAGGAACAGCTGCAGCTGGCATATCAGCAGAAGCTGATAAAAGTCAGTAGAAAATGGAAGATTTGTATTCACTTACCGTGAAGCTTCCTTCTCGGTGGTCCAGAGTGGGGCAGTCCTTGACTCCTTACTCCTGGGAAAGCACCTCCCCCTTGTGTAGGCATGGTCGGCAAACTTTGATCCCAGAGGGGAGGGGCTTATCCTCTGATCCCCAGTCTTACCGCCCCTGCCTTCTAAGCAGGATGTGCTGGCTGTGCTCTGAAGAGCACGAAGATCACAGAAGACACCGGACGTTCAGAAGAAGAAGCGGAGACCTTGTCCACTTCATCAGGCTTCACTAACTGAAAGTTATCCATACAACTAGGACCGGACTGCACTCCAAAGATATCAGCCCTTTTCACATTAACGTTGTAAACCGGATGTTATTTGTTATAGGCCCGATTTGGGGTTTTCATACAGCAAATTTTGTTCTATTAATGAGCCATCTCTGAAGTGCTGTGGTCATTTCAAACAGTGCTGCTTCCCCCACCCCCATACACAATCGTCCTTGGACTTTTTAAAATGTTCTAATGTAAGCGCTGTAGCACTAAAACCACAAAGCACTTCAGTGTTATAGTGGCACCACTGAGATGCATTGACTCCATACACCACAGCGATTCAGAAGCACAGCAAAGGGGTAGATGAGGGAAGAAAGCAGTTTCTATCAAAAGCGGTTCAACCACACTTTACTAACCCAACGCAAGCTGGTTTGTATGAACAGGTAAATAAATTCCATTAGCGGCCAGTTAGTAAAATGGATCCGTCTGAAATGACAAAATTCCATTAGCAACCAGTTACCAAAATGGAATACAAAGACAGTTTGAAAAGGGTTTTCCTGAGATTGAAGAGCGCCCCTTGTGGAATCTAAGTCACAACAAATGCAAGCCGTTTTATCCACAACATATATCACGAAAGTGCCATAGTAGTCCTGTATGTCTTTGGGGTCTACGTCCTCAGGTGCCTGGGATAAGAGCCTCATCACAACCTGGTAAAGCACCCCCAGATGGCATTGTGTGGGTGCAATGGTTGTGGGGAAGTGAGCTCACTTCACCACCATCACTGCCGCAGAGTAGTCATGATAATGTGCTCTATGGTCATATTGTCAGGACCCACAGCAACAATGAAGTACACACTTGCAGGAAGGTTTTACTTTATTTGAAGCTATAGATGCATGGACAGGAACACTGTTAGGAATGAGGGGCAAACTATGCGCATGATAGGTTATAGTACATTCGTATGAGCAACATCCAATTACTAAGGTTCCCACGCGCGCCTTGCAGCCTGAGAACCAACTGCAACCGAAAGCAAAACAGGTACGAGCTTCCCACAGCTCATCCTTACGAAAGTCAAAGCAATAACTCCAGCGACTCCTCCAGCAGCCTTGAAAGATAGTTGTTGCTGTAGAAGTGGCAATTAAGCGAAGGGGAAAGCATGCGCATGGGAAATGATACAAAACGAAACTTGGCAGCTTGCTGACACATATTCACTTTGAGTTTTCCTCCAACTGTCTGCCCAACCACTCCATCACTCGAAGCTCCTTGGTAAACCAAGTCACAAGCCAAGCTCTATGGGAGAGAAGGGGGCACTTCAGAACTATTGCGTCCTCAGCCTGGATCCTCTTCATATTCAACCAGGACTGCAACAGGAGCACCCCAAGAGATGCCTGGAAACCATCTGGGTCCCTCAGCCTTCTGGGGCAGACCATCCTTCCTGCACCCTCATCCTTGTAGAGGTTCTGAGTGTCCATGAGTCTAAATCTCACCAGGTAATGGTGGGTTCCGTGACGAGGGCAGAATGAAAAATCCCTCCCATTACCAAGTCATATATTTTATCACCAGAGAAAATCAAATCAGGTGAGTTC